CTCAGCAATAACCACTAATGACTCCACAGCTGCTCCAGCATCTTCTCCAAGCACCTTCTCCAAGCACTTCACGGTGAAATTCTTATCAGGCTGATTTGAAACCTCCAGCTTCTTTCAACATGCTACTTGTGACAAAGATCTCCTACCACCCCCTAGGCCTCATAAGACAACATATCAACATGTATGACATGTACAAACAAAACCAGTAAAAGACTCAGGCATCAGTAGGTTTATAATTAAAAAATTAAACACAGTTTAAGATCTTTGGTGGGAAGGAGTGGAAGGAGAGCAAGGAAGAGTGGAGATAAAACCTGAAAGCACAGAAGCCCTTAATTGTAAATTCGAGTAACTCCTTCCCACACCTAACACAGAAATAATACCGAGAGGAAAAGACTATTGAAAGGCAACAAAAGCAACAAGTGACTATAAAAACTGAAAGTTCTTCTAGTGGTCAGTATGCACAGGATTTTAATATTTATGGTTTTTTACTTAAAGCTTAGAGAAGTTTAACAGATTGACATGTAGTTCAGCACAGAACATCACGACTGTCTGCAAGCAAGCCTGCTTCACAAATGGCCAGATCTATCTGAGTCCCTTGTAAAGACCCATCACCTTCTACCATTAATTTTCTTCGCTGGTTAAAATATCACGATTCTGTGTATCCAGCAGTGGTTGAAATGCAATGACACATTTAATAGAAATAACTGCCATGTTTTACTTTGCAAAAGGAAGAGACAAACCATGCTAGTACCCTGACTGACAAAAATAAGTTACTTTGTCCATATATTGTCCCTTCTGCTCAAAGAAGTTGAGAAGAAAAAAGGAGAAGCACGAGACAAGAGATAAAGTACAGCTTAACACAGGGGGAAAAAGTGCAAATTCCTTAGATTCATTAAAACATTATACCCAGCCTCTCCCCAACCCCCACTGAAATTACAAAAGCAGTGGATGATTTTCTGTACAGCCCCAGCCTACTGTATTTCAGAATGTGGAGTACAGGCAGTATTTCGAAACACAAAATAACAGAAAAGAGTATTCACAGGTTTAAGATGCAAGTACGTACTGCAAATCCCTACAGCGAAGGGATGTGAAAAGCATTAGAAAAAGATGACAGTATATTACTGTAGTCCATCAACAAGCAATTGACATCAACCAAAGATCAATTTGCTGTTGCTGTCTTATATTCCTGAGGCTGCCATTTGGTAAAAATGCAAAGTTCACCTTTGCTGTGCAATACCTTTGTGGTTTCTGTATCACACTAGGAAATTCTTCCACTTTTCCATTTTTATTTACATATAAATAACAAAATACATTAAGTTTGAATAATAATCTTTATTTATTAGTTTATTTGTAAAAGGTACATTGTAATCCTGAGCTACTGCTTTTATACATTTAGCATCATACAAAGACAGGTCATTTACAGTTTGATCATTTACATTTATTGTGCTCCAAAATCCTTATCCGAATATCATTTTGACTTAGCAGGAACATAGATAATTTAAATTACATGTATCCCTGAAACATCCATATTAATTTACCCATCTGACCCCATTATCTAAATTACTACACTTGTCTAAATCACTCAGGGCATTCCTTCTGAATTTAGCAAAAACTTGTTTAAAACTATAAAGATGGGCAGTGCAAGAACTGGTCCCTCAATCCTTTGTGAATACATCATTAGAAAAAACTTTCTGTTTCCGTATTCTCTTGGCAAGTCAGTGCTAAATTGACTAGATGTACTGGATGGAATGGTCCAAGTAATAGTTTACTCATTTCCTTATTACAGCAGTTAATGAGAATTTACAGTGTCTCCCTTTGCAGTGACCAGTGTCATAACTCTTCCAAACAGGGAAAATCTGACATGATCAGAGAAAAGTAAGAGGAAACCCATCACCACCTTATTGTCATCTACATGACACTGAAGAATTACAAACCAATTCATACGAAATGCTTCCCTTAGACCCTGTAAAGGAACTTGTATGAATAACTGAGTTAAGTTCCATAATCCGAGCATGGCTTTTAGGATTTGCCAGTTAAAAAAAAAAAAACACCAAAAAAACCCAAAACCTCAGTCCCAGGATCCTTGAGAAGAAAGCATTTATCCTAACTGAAATCCAATCCTGGATAGATGGAAATTTAATTGGACTACCAAAATAGCATCTCTCTCTACCTGAAAAATCTCCAAGCATACAGCGTTTACAAATGTCTCTCTAGCAACAGTGTCAGTCTTTTAAAGTATACCCATAACTTTCATTTCCTGAATAAGGTCACTATGATCTTAGGCAAAAGGTACAGTAAGCAGTTCAAGCAAAATGCTTATTGCTTAGGTTTTAAAGCAAGCCACTTGAATATAATTTTAGTTAAAATGTGAAGTACAAATGTGAAGCTACTGTAGAAACACTTATAAACACTCTTGCTTTTGAACTTTTACTGATCGTCTAGAAAAATGGCAGACGGATTTTAACATAACAAAGGAAATGTAAAAATTAATACTGACTATTGAAATAAAATTCAACGCCTATAAAGACAGAGTTATGAACATGTAAACACAGCTTAGTATTCAGAGCTAGGGAATCTAGCAGCAAAACAAACTATTTGCATATTATGTAGTGCAATGAACATTTGTTCTTAGAGACCCCCCAGTCTTTAAACTACTTTGAACAGAATGGAATCCTTATAGGAAAGGTTTTAAAAGTGTCCAAGATGTAATATCCAGAATTACTAGACATTCATCTATAACCTAACAATTTCTCTACGCAAAACTGTGCTCTGGATAACTGACTTTAATGGCTCCCCAGTAGCAGGCTCGAATGAGGCAGATTAAACCTAAGAGATAAGCAACAGCCCAAGAAACATATGTTGCGTGAAATCGCCTGGCGAAATCTTGTGTACCAACCTAAAAAGAGAAAACAGAAGTGTCAAACACACAGCACTATCTGCTCTTCAGAGAAGAGCAAGTTATATTAAGGAGAAGCATTTCAGCACCCTTTCAACTCTGGTAAGGGCAAATCAGATATTTTATTAGCTTAATTTTACAGAACCATAGGGTAATTGAGCTTGAAGGGGACATCAGGAGACTTCTAGTGCCAATTTCCCAATCAAAGCAGGGTCAACTCTAAGGTCAGACCAAGTCGTTCAGGGTTTTAACCCAGATGGGTCCCAAAAATCTCCCAAGGAGGGAGGCTACATCAGCCTGTGGACAAACCTCGTGGAAAATTTTTTCCACATAGTTTTCAAACTCAGTAAGGTCATGGAAAAAAAAAAAAAAAAAAAAAACCCATCTCTCACTGTTTTTATTTCTGGCTGTCTTTTTTTTCTATTAGGGAAACTGGAAAATCCTTCATAACTCATTTAAACTCACACATAAATAATTATTCAAGTTAAAATGCAAGTTAGAGGCCTAATGAGAATTACAGACAAATTCACTGCAGGTATTTCCTCACACATACTTTTCTGGGATTGCCAGGTAGAAGGTTGGCTCTAGTAACCAGTACCAGACACTGGTAAGCCAGACAGTTTTCCAAGTAGCAGAGCAACAAGAGCACGAGCTTTTTACTTTGTAGATAGTTTGTTATCTGGTTTCACTCTTTATAGCTTGTACAAATTACAAATACAAATATTTCTAGCTTTTGGAATCCCATTCACCTCTACTGCAGTGGAACTTACATTCCTGGCTATACAGCAACATGTATTTCTGGAAGCCTGGAAGTTTTAAGAGCTCTAGCAAGAGCAAGATGTTCCAGTATTTCTACAGTAAAGTAAACCATTTTTCATAAAACTGAAGGTTTTAGACAGACAAAGAGTCAAATTTAACATAAGAACGAAGAAACTTTCAAAGTGCCAGAACAGAACACTTTTTTTTTTTTTTTTTAGAAACATTTCATTTTTCTGGCTACGTCCACGGTTTTAATAGAGATGACAAAACCAACACAGACTTCGGAAGGTTTACTCAAATGCTGGGGAAGGAAGAGCAAGTCAACTGAGAGCGCTCCTTTGAACACACACCCTCCCACACAGTTGCAATTACACCACAGGTCATGACTCACAGTTAATCCAACGCCAATGAAGATACATATCATTCCAATTGTAATATATGCACAGCAGCGCCTCCGTGGCAGCGCACTTCCAACAGATGAACTGTTAGGAAATAAATAATGTTGGAAATTAAACAAAAATACCTCCATCCAACCAAATGACAAACACCACAAAAACAACCCCTGCCATCAACAGTAACTAAATGAGGGGATGGAAAGAGAATGGCAACACACAACCCTGAGATTAGCTTGGTTGGTTAGAGCACGGTGCTAACAATGCCAAGGTTGAGGATTTGATCTCTGCATGGGCCATTCACTTAAGAGTTGGACTTGATGATCCTCGTGGGTCCCAGCCAACCCAGAATATTCAGTGATTCTGTGACATACACCATCTTAAGTTTATAAAGTTGTAGGGAAAGTTTAAAATTTTACTACAAAGTACAAGACACAGTCCACATTTGTTTTAAAGGGGAATTATTGGTGATTATCTAATACCTAAAAATCTAGGTGCTTACAAGAAAGAGGATGGTGCCACACCTACAGTTTGAGTGTGTCCCACCTCCTGTGCCCACAGCAGATCCAGGTAAGTACCTTGAATAGCCTCTGGATTGCAAAACCTAAGTTGGCTTTGCAACTTTTATGTAGGTTGCAAGACACCCTTCCGACTTGATTCATCAGCATATGGCCTTAATATATTCACTGCATCTAATTAACTGGAAATCACTTCTGCTCCCCCTGTCATTAATAACAATCTTCATTATCCATTTCCTGGAATAGTTCACTCAATACTGTTCAGCAACTAAACTGTCCTGTTTCTTGAAGGTAAACATAAATCGTTTTAGTCACAGACATGTAATTTTTTCCCATGTTCAACATCTCCAAAGACTGAAATGCTTTAGACATCTTTAAGTCAGTTTTAGTAACTTCAAAAACATGACAAGTTCTTCTTACTTGAACTTCTTTCAGAGTTCTACCACAAGTTACATGAGCTGCACAAATCACTTCTGACAACCAAGGTAAATAAATGCCCTGGAAGTTCTGTCACTCATCATCTGGACTATGAACTTCAGGACAGACAGTTTTGTCTCTACTTGCTGCTATCAAGCTATCAGTGCTTCAGTCAAACAGAATATAAAATGCAAATAAAACATTATTTACTACAGGTTAGAAAAATTATTTCAGAAGCTTAGCATTGTTTAGGAAATACATCTTGAGTCACACATCTGCAATGACATGCAGCTATACTAATGAGGAAAATAGGAACACGATTTAATTTCATTGAAACACAAATAAAAGAACTACAGAGGCAGAGGTTCTTTCATAAAAACATGTACCATCTATATTAGAGGTAGTTTTGAAGCATCCTGAAGCATGCTATCATTAGTTACTTCATCTCATTCTGGGAGATCAACACACCTTTGGAAATAATGGAATGCTTGTATTCTGTGTTCAAGGATGAAGGGAAAGTAATTTTCATCTCATGATAGCTCAACATATTTAAGATAAATGCATAACAGAAGAAAACAGTGCTAAACTATTAAAGTAGTACATGCATCATATGACTGACCAAATTTCTGGCTCCAGTTAATTAACCACATAGTAAGGCCTCATATGCTTAGCATGTGACTAAAATTTTTTAAGCATTCATCTTAGAAAGCCTTCAAACAGAGTTTAAGCAGCTTTACTCCAACATTATTGCTTTACAAGGAATTTCTAAAATGATCCAAGAAAAAAAAAACCAAACCAAAACACACTCCACCACAGTCCTCAAGCTAACACACTGAGCTTCATCTTGTGAGGCAGGAGTTGAAATACAGTGACCACTCAAGCAATTTTCAGAAGAGCAGGAAAAGTCCCAAAGCAGTTCTGCTCATTAATTTCCATGGGGAAATTATTTTTTACCCAAAACCTTAGAATACACATGTGGGATGGAACTAGGGGATGTGTGTGGTGTCATCGGTATGGGAGAATTCCCAGTTGGGGAAATAATGATATCTTACAATCCTCACACACGCACCTCTACACACTCCCTCAAAAGCCACCCTACAGCCATTCCAGAAAAAAGGATATGTTGTCCAATTCCAAGTTACATGAGGAGAAAAATAATCAAATCAAAATGCACTTTTATAAAAGGGGAAAGCAAGGAGATGCTTGCCAAACTGACCTCAGATTCCCTCCTTTGCAGGATTTCCTGGCTACGTACTCAGAAAGTTAATTCTATTACAGAGCTGGATACTGTCAGATAAGCTGGTAGAAATGTCATGTTCAATACACCTAAAACATGCATGATATTTACCGTGCTGTGTATTTCACACAGAGGCAAAGTTAATTCTGGGAAAGAGACCTTCAGTTTCAGAGCTGACTTACGATCCTGTTTTTGTACTCATAACATTGCAGGTGCTGTGTGTATTTCCCATCCATATTTCTCTCAAGCTTTGTCTCCTATCCAGGAAGAAAGGCTGAGGGAGAAACCATCACCTCAAATACCACAAAAAGGAAATGTATAGAATGTCTCAATTTAACAGCTTTTCTCTTTCCACAGAAAGCAAACATGAAATAAGTATATTAAGTTTCTACAGTCACATGATAGACCTGGGAATATTTAGCAATCCAAATAAACCATAATTAATTTTTCACCTCCTGACAGTAATACTAGCCACTGGCCCACTCTAAATAGTGAAGTTTCCCTCTATCCACACCAAATTACACATAAAAACCCCAAACTAACTTTGAATAAAGAAAGCTAAAATTCTACCTCAAAACCTACCAACTGCGACAACTTCGACAAGCACATTTGGAAATCTGGGATCAAAAGAACATTTTCATATCACAGAAGCAGTCAATTAGTTCCACTGTGGGAGTATGAGGGAACTCACTACAGAGCTATCCAGAAGGCAGTGGTTCTTTGTTTCTGAGCTGCTGCTGAGGAAGCAAAGGCACCTGCCAGACCTTTGGGCAGCAGCAGCAGATATAAAAGACATCAGAGCCAATTTAGCACTGAGTACTAATTAAAAGAGGGGAAAACCACCACAAGGGACAAAGGCTATAAAAGAAGTTCCACAGGAAAGAATGCTGGGTCTCTTGTGCTCTAAATAATAGGAACTATAGCCAGGATTTCAGACATGCTTTCAGGAGGGTTTTTAAGAGGAAAATCAAAATGCCAGTATTTTGAAGGTGAATAGCACTGCTGAAACTAGCCTCCATAGTAGTGATGGGGTTCCAACATCTCTCTCTTTCCTAAAAGTCCAGCAATCTTTATGGAGCAAAGGTGTTATAAATTCGTTAGGGTTCATGGTTTTGTCAGACTGTAAAAAGTAAAATAGGTAGGTTCTAAAGGAAAAAAGATTTGAAATTCTGAAATAATAACTTGCAGCATTCAATTCTCTTTCTAGTAACTGAACTCATGATCCTGAAGTTTCTAGATGATTTAATATACAGTTTGGGAAAGAGAATGGCAGACATTAAAAGAACATTAAGAGAACATAAAAGAAAAGTTTCTTCATCATTAAACAAGAAAAATACCAGAAGCCTTCCTTTAAATCTCTCACTTTTTTGGGAAACAGGCTGAGAAACATCTGCTATTTTGCAATCAGTAAAAAGTAACAGTTTCTCTCCCATTCCTAGGTGTCACTATAAAATAAAGCTGTATCACGACAATTTACTCATTAGCTACATTTGTTGTCCCAAAGTAGTGGATAACATGCAACTAAGGGCTTGAGACAGGTTGAACCACTATGCACCACTAAGGCTTCTGCAAACACCTTACCTATATTGGCATGCAAGGTTTACAGCCTACTTCAAAGACATTTGGTCATTTACTAAATAAGTGATTTTATTCTCTGCCTCACAATTAATTTCCTGTATTTCCTAAGTTATTTTGCAAGAGAAAAAAAGTATGTCACAAAACAATAAAGTTGTAACCACAATGATAGCACATAGATAGGACTAAAAACAAACAAGAAGATCCTATTTCCCCCAACATCCAGATATGAAAGGTTCCTTTGTTTACATACTCTAAGGTACGATTGCTTTATTTTTCCCTGAACATTGTTTCATTATTGACCTTTTCATGTAATAACTCCTGATCTCCCTGCAGTTTTAAAGACGTTCTTAATATTAAGATCTAATTTCCATCAACCAAATAGGAGGTCACAAACAAACAATTTGCAGAGATGCATGCACTTTTAAAAACATTTGAAACAAAGTTATGAAAATTATTTGAGAATCTAAAAGTCTCAGCTGATGCTTCCTTGAAAAACTTACTGTTGCAGTCATTCAAGGTGCCTTGTGCCTTAGTCTACACTATCCTTTTTTCAGTGACAGTCATCCACTGAGTCAACAGAAGGAATGAATAGTTTCACATCTGACTACTCAGCTACTAAAGAAAGAAGCTTTGCATTAATAAGCTGAAATAAAGAACCCCACATTCCCTTCTAACTACTTGGCTACAATGACCTCTGACAAAGGCCCGAGAAAAAGCAGGTCACCGCAGTTATTTATTCCATCATCACAACTCAAACTTCTGTCTCACCTATGCTGTGCCCTAAATCCAAGTGTTAAAAATGTTTATGCTGCTGGAAGTGCAGAACTCCTGACTATCGCATCTCAAATGCAGGAAAACACCAAGCAACTGATTCAAGGCTAAACTACAATATTCCACAGTTTGCATTCTCAGCCCAAGGACAGACATGCCCACTTGTTAAAATTAGTTTTGTATTCTGCTGTACAGTTGCCAGGCAAGCTGTAATTATCACAAATCACACTGCAGAGAGGCTCCCGTTTCCTTACATACAGATAGCATGCTTTCCACTTTAATCGACAGAGACACTAAGAAAACCTTAGACTCCAGCTGGAGTTTAAAGTACAAGCAACATTAATCAACAGAAGACAAACCAAAAGACCACATGGTGTGACTTTGTGACTGTTGCTTGCAGTATGGTTTATTTTGCTGCTGTTATTGTTGGAGTTGGTTTTTTTTGTTTGGTTGTTTTTTGCTGGAGGTTTTTGTTTTGCTTTTTTTTTAAGATTAAACAGCAAATAATTTTGTACCTAAGGAGAGTCAAGAAAAAAGCTGAGGTCAGCTATCAAAAGTGACATGATAAAATATAAACATAATTGCAATTAGTTTGAAAACAAACCAAACAGCAAAACATCAGCCCCTCCCTCAGGACTGAAGAGACTTAATGCAATTACAGTCCTTAAAAAATCCCTGAAGCATCTCACCAAGACTGAGTTTATTTGACTTAAGTAAACTAGAACATATCCACTACTACAGTTACAGCCCTGAGGTTAAACACAGCACTAGACTGACTTCTCTATCAAATACTCCAATAAAAAGACTTCAATCGCTGTTGAAGGCCAGGTCATGCCCACACCTACAGTACATTTATGCTAAGCCTTCTGCTTCCTCAGGGACCTGCTAGTTGTCCTACAACATGCAACACAGCTGTGGTTCTCCATTCCCAGTGGAAAACACATTTGCTCCTTCAACTGGAAGTCACACTTGCCTGTCAAAGGAAGACCAATATTTAAATAAATCAGCAGTATGCAAAAGTCTCTGAAGTAATATTTAAGTCTTATTTCACATCCTGTGGTTGAGTTAGTGTATGTTAGTAGTGTAGTTTTCAGCAACAATTCAGACTAAGTATTCCTGACCTCAAATAATAAAGGCCAAATACTCAAAAACAGAGCTCCAAACAAAAAACCAAACCAAAACTCTTACAGCTCTTTTATTCTAACTTTTCTTGTTCTCATTAAACTAATAACAAATGAGTAGATGAGTTATTCCACAGTAATTCATAAACATTAAACAAGCTAATGCATTAGGCTGCTTAACACAAGTTAGTTGTCGAGTTTATAATATCAGTAAAACCTCTTTAAAATTAAGAGTAGTTCCTTTCCTCCTTTTACAATAAGGCAGGTAAAGTTCTAAATTTAAAGATGACATCTGATTACTACTGCATGAAGAGGTAAAATTTTAAGGACGTAACTTGTCAATTTTAGCACCCATTCCTGCCTATTGTTAGTAGCTTATTTTTGCCTCTATCAATTCAATCAGACTTTTCATAAATGCAGGCTAGATTTGTCAAAGTTACTGATTTGTGCATAAAGAGTGGAGAATTCATGTGCACGCAACATGCACTTTAGTCTTGAAGTTCAGATGAGCACGGTAAAATAATCAGTACAGCTAACATATTTTACTCCAAAGACTTTTACAGAAGAAACACTGGCAACTTCACAGTAATTTACATAACCTTGTTTTCAGAAAACTTACATTTTTTTGCAGTGTG